AAAATTCATTGGAAAAAAGATTTCCCTTAGGTCTCAAAAATAAAGTTTTAAAGTTTGTATTACCAAAAAAAGAGCAAAATAATATAAACCAATATTTACCTCACTTACTAAATGTCAGAAATATTTTTGTCATAAATCTGTAATATCAAAAGAGAATTCTTAAAATATATGAGTGCTAACATTTTTTAAGCATTGCTATAAAATAGCTATTAAAAACACAGAAGACAGAATTCACAATCTAGCAAAAATTGGTCTTGTCGAAGAGGGAAAAAATGCTTACTATTTCAAAATAACTATTTTCCTTCTCAGCATCTATTAAAAGAAAGTGTAAAGCATGGTAGTACCCACCTGTAGTCCCAGCACTCTGGAGTCTGGAGCAAGGAAGATGGCAAGTTCAAGACCAGCTGAGGCTACATAGCAGCCTTTGCCTCACCTAAAGGAATAACTTACTGGGGGGAAAAACATATAAATGCAAAGAGAGAGAGACAGACTGACTGACTGACTAGAGCCAGAGAGTTGGGAATGTAGCTAAACTGCTACTGTACCTGCCTAACCTCACAAAGCCTTGGGTCTGACCTCAAGACTACATTAACCAGGTGTTGGGGTTTGTGCTACTAGCACTGAAGAGATTAGGTTAGTCTAAAATCACTAGCTCTAGTTAATGCTACAGAAACATATCTAGTCACCTATCTCATATAACATTATCATTTCAAGATTTCAAAACAGTTCCTGGGGGTAAAAGTCAGGCCTATCCGTGCATGACTTTAATTGCAGCACAGACAAGAGGCAGGCCCTTCTCTGTGAGTCCAAGGCCAGCCTGATCTGCATTTAAGTTCCAGACCAGCCAACACTACACAGTAAGAACATGTCTCAAAAAATTACACACACACACACACAGACACACGCATATGCACAGCGCGCACACAGCCTTGCTTTCCTTGCCTGGGGATGGAATCCGAAGCCTTGTGCAAGCTCTGAGCTTTACCCTGGATACCTCCACCTCTACACTCTTTTTTTTTTTATCTTCTTCTTCTTCTTCTTCTTCTTCTTCTTCTTCTTCTTCTTCTTCTGAGACAGAGTTTCTCAGTAGCTACAGAGCCAGTCCTGTAACTCACTCTATGGACCAGGCTGGCCTTGAACTCCCAAACAAAAACTCAATCTCTTAAGAGCTCTGGCAGCTGTTTCACTTTTAATTACCACGGTGGTTCTCAACCAGTAGGTTGTGACCCCTTTGGGGGTCAAATAACCCTTTCACAAGGATCACATATTAGTCATTCTGCATATCAGATATGTACATTATGATTTATAACAGTAGCAAAATTACAGTTATGAAGTAGCAACAAAAATAATTTATGGCTGGGGGTCACCGCAGCATGAAAAACTGTATTCAAGGGTGGCAACATTAGGAAGGTTAAGAGCCACTGAATTAAGTACCTTTCGGAAACAACAATCAAAACAGGAACTTTTTGGTTTTAGTCTTAGAAATCCAACTCACATTAGGTAAATTTTCACACATAATCCTATGCTGGAATAAGGTTTTTCTCACCCTTTTAATGAAAAGAAATTTTTAACAATATTCCTTTACTACAAGTGTTCCTAGCTAGAAAATGATTGTCTTCCGGCTTGTTGCTATAAATTCTTATGTTCCACTTATTTTGAGACAGGGTCTCACATACTGCAGGCTGGTTGGAACTATGGCCTTGAACCTCTGGTTGGCCTGGCTCCACTTCCTAAGCATTGGGATTACACCAAAGCTAGTTTATGTGGTCTACAACCTAGAGCCTTCTGTGTGCTAGGCAAGCACTCTGCCAACTAAGCTACACCCCCAGCACAACGTGGAATGTTTTACTAATAAAACTAATGATTTCTCACTCAAATTAAGAAATTTAAAAATATCCTGGAGCTGGAAGCATAGCTCAGTACTGAGTGAATGCTTAGTACTCTCAAGGCCCTAGATCTGACCCCAGCACCAGTAAATAAGTTTGGGCCAACAAAATGGTTCAGCAGGTGAAGGTAGTTGTCTGACAAGGTCAGCATCACTACTTTAATTCAACCCTCAAAATCTATACAAAAGTAGACAGAACCAGTAAGTTGTCTCCTACCTCCATACACATGCAAGGGCCCACACAAAACATTTCTAATAAGTAAATTTTAGGTCGTTAACTTTAAGCCTGACTTTACTTATTTTTAGGCATTTATTTACTTTGAATGCTTCAGGAGACAGGTGTGTGGCGGTCAGAGGACAATTCTGTGGAAACAGTTCTCTGCTTTGGCCATGTAGAGCCCGTGATCCAACCAAGGTGACACCTGGTAGCAGGTCCCTTTACCCAATGGGCCATTCTGAGGGCCCAAGCCTGGTTGTTTCCTTTAAAGGGAATCAATATTTTTCTTTCCAAACCGGAAAAAAAAAAAAAAATTGAGCAACAATTTTAAGGGAGGGAACCCCGAGAGAAATAAGTCCTGGGGCCACACTGTGTACCAAAGAAACTGCATATAATCATGACATCCAACACACCAAGTAAAAGATCTAACCATTATGCTCTGTGTGTGTGTGTGTGTGTGTGTGTGTGTGTGTGTGTGTGTGTGTGTGTGGTTTTATGTGCTATAAGCATGTCTTTTTAGTATATCTGTCTTGCACCCTAAAAGCTTTTGTTCTTTCAAACTGCTGGTTACTAATGAGCATAACACTAACCACACTACCAGCCCACATGAGATTTGAGTGTTTAGTGGAAATCAGGAATCTGGACCAAACACTTAACCCAAGAAAAAATAAGACAAATAAAATTTACCATGGGTTGTTTTATGTGTGATACAGTGGTCTGAACTAACATTTCTGTATCCTAAGTGACATTTTCTTAGGTTTTGGAGTTGGGGAGGTTGTTTGTTTGGTTTTGGAGTTTTTGTTGGTCCTAGATGTCCTGGAACTGTGGACCCAGCTGCCCTCAAACTCAGAGATCAGCCTGCCTCTGCCTCTAGCTCTAAATGGTGTGGGTGTGTGTGTGTGTGTGTGTTTGCTGTTGTTTTTAAATTCTACTCAGAAAATACAAAAGCTAACTTTATTTATTCTAATTTACCAATTTCACTCAAAGAAAAAGTGTATTTGAATCAAGATCTTTATTAGAGAGACACACTGGAAAACAAATAGGACCAGGCATTGGTTTTTGTTGCAAGACCAGCCATTCAGTGCATCCGAAGCAGAATTATCTTTAACTTCTCTCAAAGCTTCCAGGCAAGATAAAAAATCAAATTAGAACTTTTTAAATTCTAGATGGAGTATATTACAAAGTTAGCACAGGAAAGGGAGGATCCACCTCCATTATTTTGTAAAAACAAGGTCCAATAGTAGCATTGGGTTACTTTTCCCGAACATCCCTGTGAAGATTCCCGCCAGAATACCAATTTAAAAAGCACAGTGGATGCTCCAAAGACAAAGCAAGCTCACTCTCTGCACCTACAGCCCTTGTCCAGCACTCAAGGACGCCTGGTAATTAAAAGAAACAGCACGTGCTGGCCTTTAATCCCAGCAGGCGGATCTCCTAGTTCGAGGCCAGCCTGGCCTACAGAGCTAGTTCCAGGACATCCTCCAAAGCCACAGAGAAACCCGGTCTCGAAAAACCAAAAAGAAAGGAAAAGAAACAACTCCTTCAACTGAGTGGCTTGGCCTCTACAATTGTACCTGCAACAGTAATCATTATCTTTCAAACCTGGACAGTCCTTGTAATTTTCAGAATACTGTTTATGAAACACTTCACACAGTGTGTTTTGTTTTTCCTCTTATAAAATTAGCACATACACTACCTACTTCGATGCTGGAGTTTGACACCCAGCCAATCAAATTACAGCAGTGTGAGAAGGAACCCTAAGTAGCACTTCTAATCTAAGATGTAGTGACGATCTGCTTTTCAAAAAAGCTCACTACAATCTTAAAAACTCTCTTTTGTGTGGTGTGACACTCCTTAGGGTCGGAGACTTTCTTTCCAAATTACAGAACCTAGGAAAAAGGAATTCCAGGATGGGACCTAGGAACCCACTACTCCCAGGCCAGAAGCGGGTTCCACCCCTCCTGCTCCGGCCCAAAGAAGGCATTCTCGATGCATTATTATTAACACAACAATCTATAATACTTCCCAAGAGATTCCTATAGATTCCCTCAACTCCTGAACCGGTGGTTCAGGCCCGGGTCCGTCACTCGGTTTTCTGCTCTTGATGGTCTAAGTTCTCGATAAACACAACCAGAGCACGCAGCCATTTGACAAGAGGATGGCGAGTGGAGGATATAATATTAACTCAAGATTTCTTCCTGAAGAAATGAAGGGGGGTAGGGTGGCACATGCCTTTAATCACCCTGAACCTGAGAGGCAGAGGCAGGCGGATCTCTGAGTTCCAGGCCAGCCAGCCAGGAGTGCACAGAGAGACCCAGTGTTAAAGGGGGTGGGGGATGGAGGGGAGGTACCCAAGACAGCCAAGAGGCAGAACAGGCAGGCACCAAAGCACACTGCGCCCTTAAGGACACACTTCACCCCTCCAGGGTCCATCCTCCGAGTGCGGAACTCAAATGTGAGGACGTGGAGTCGGGAGCAGGTGAGCAACCAGGGTGGGCACGTCTGCAGGTGAGCCAGCCCCAAGGGATGCACTCGGGCTGGGCTGGGGCTGGCAGCGTCCGACCCCGGGGCCCCGCGAGCTTTTCAAACCGCCGCCCCGGGAAGGCGCTGCGCCGATTGGCAGCTCCTCCACGGCCGGCCGTCGGCAGCACAGGGCCACAGCGGGAACTCTGCAGCGGAGCCCTCCCGGCCGGGACCTCTGCGCTCCCGGGGGACCAGCCCGCCCGCTCCGCCTCCGCCCCCGCCCCCGCCCCCAGGCGCGGTCGGTCCCCGCCGGGTCCAGCGACGCCGCCGACGGGGCGGCCCCGGGACCCGACGCCCGCCCGCCCGCCCGCCCGCCCGCCCGGCCCTTCGGGGTCGCGGGCGGCGGCGGGGACCCCGGCGAGCCCGCGCTCTTACCCGTCCTTCCGCCTCGCCTTGTAGACGTGCCCGTAGGTGCCGCGTCCCACTTTGCAGCCCTCGTACTCGAACAGATCCTCCACCCGCTCCCGCTCCGCCGCCAGCTTCGCCTTGAAATCATAATCCATTGTCTGCTTCCCCCATAGGGACACCGGGGCGCGGGGGCCGCCGCCGCTCAGTCCGTCCGGCCGTCCGTCCGCCGCCGCCGCCCCGCTCCGCTTCTCCCAAGCCGCCGCTCGGGCTCGGGCTCGGGCGCGCGCGCGCCGCCCGCCGCCCCGCGGCCCGCCCGCCTTCAGCAAGGGGCTCCTCGGCGGCCGAGGCAGCCACCGCCTCCGCCTCCGCCTCCTCCTCCTCCTCCGCGGCGGCGGCGGAGGCTCCCGCGGGCACCCACAGTCCCGCCTCCCCCCTTCATTTCCTTGTTTTGGAACCCGGTGGGCCGCGCCGCGGCTTTCTCGAACTCATTAACAAACCGAGCGGCCCGCCCCGAGGCTGCGGGGCATGCTGGGGAATGTAGTTCAGCGGGCCACGGGAGCCGTGCGGGCCCCCGGGACGGAAAGACTACAGTTCCCAGGGTTGCCTGGGCCGTTTGGGCCCCGCCTCCGCGAGGCAAGGACGCCTGCGCACGGCCGCCGCCCCACCCCCTCAGGTAGGTAGCTAGCCCGTTCCCGTGAAGTGCTGCACGAAGTTGCTGCAGCGGGGTTTCTGCAAGCCCGCGGGAGCTGCTGGCAGGGCAGCCTTCGCTCTGCTGGAAAGGACACCACCGGCTCCGACTGTCCCGGGCCGAAGAAAGCGGGAGCTCACTCCGGGGCATCCGGAGCCCCGACTGGGGTCGAGACAGTTGTACTCCACATTGTTTGTTTTCCTGGGCAATTGATCCTCCTGCCGCCCCGCCCCTTGCCGCGGCTCATTGGCGGAGGCTGAAGAACGACGTCCCGTGTGGTGCTTGGGCATCTCCGGCTTTGGCTTCTTTCCCGCTCTTGATTGGTAATTGGATGTGCTCGGTTCTCCCTGATAGGTTAACCTTTTTCCTTTACGATGCAAAAACCGTATTTCAAAACCTGAACATTCAGCGGTTTCCCTGCTCTTGCTAGGGGAACCGTATAACTTCTCCGGCCCACAGCCAATCATCTTTTTCTTGGCGCTCTAATCGGGTTTTATCCTAGCATATGCGGGGCGCGGTAGCCGAGCGTTAACCATCTGTCTGAGAACAATTAAAGTGCCTGGAAGATTGCAAAATGCAGCGTTTTTAAAAGACAGTCATTTTTGCTGGGTTGTAGAGCGTTTTTTTTTTTACAGTATGTACATATTAGTGAGGCTCACCAGGGGGATTTGGGAAATTTATCTTGATCGTGATGTTGATCCGTTATGGTGGCTGGGGCTCAGGGCACATCGCCTCAAATTATGACTGTAAGAGCCTAGAAAGTGCCACGCTAAAAAAATGTGTCCCTTTGCATGCTGATTATTTAAAAAAAAAAAAAAAAAAAAAAAAAAAAAAAACGGAGATCCATCCAACACATGAATTTCGAATTTCAGCTCCCTTCCACTACCCAAAATAAAATATAAGGGAACGGTTTTTTGTAAAGAGAATGTTAAGTTTAGAAAAGAAATAGAGAAATTGTAAAAGCATCTTTATCAGTAAGGCAGCTTAGCTATTTGTAGACATTATTGTTGGAGAAGCTATCTTTGTCCACTACCTACTAAAACTTCAAATTCTTGTTCCTTTCTGTATGTCATGGGCTTCAATCATCAGTCCTTGGGGTTGCGGCCCGTGCATACGTCCACAACTAAGCTTGTACTCTCAGACCAGACATGATGTCGAACACTTGTAGTCCCCTCCTGCTCTTGCCAGGGTCAAAAAGAATGGATCTCTTGAACACGGGAGCCTGGAGACAGCCTGGGTAGCTCTGCTGCAGGTGCTCAACAGGTTGGAGAGTGCCCTTCCCGCTGCCTCAGTTGGTCTGCACCGCTCTCTTCCAATAAAATACTTGCAATTTGAATTCAAGCGTACACTGACAAGTTCGTGCACCGTGATTTTATTTCAGTGATGCAAGGATGATTTAACATATATGAGGCACTGGAAGCCTAATCAGCACAGACACCCAGGCGGAAATCACATGGTCGTCTCAATGTCAGGCCTAAGAGGCTGCTCCCGTACAGGGCATCAGCCATGTCTTATATCCAGGCTATATCTTCCCTGAACTTCTAGTATAGAGGAACCCCAAGGAAGGGTGGGGCAATAGGATTAGCTTCCTATATTGTGGCCTTAGCTCCTATCAGATCTATACTGATAGATCCTGGTACCCTCTGAGCTCTGCGGAGTCTCAAGCAGCACTTTTGGCTGAAGGTTTGTTCCCTTGTAGTGGAGACTGAGGTCTCTAAGTGAACAGGTTTTTCTGTCTTAGATACTTTTTTCCAGGGGTTGTGAAGAGATGTGCTGAGGTAGGTCTCAGATGACGAGGTCCTTTAACAGTGCTGGCCACTTGCAGCAGGGGTGTCTGGAATATAGTGGGGATCCAACAATAACTTGAAGGACAAAGGAAAATCCTACTGTAAGCCCCATGAGGTAGGAGTGGCCAGGTCCCACCCCCAATGACCTTAAAGGCCATGTGAGTGTAACAGCTCTGAGAGGAAAGGTGTCCTGGTAATTGGGAAGCCAGGGAGTACTGCAAAACCGCACCGCACAACAAACCTCACACGAGATTTATTGGAAGAGTCCCAAGAGGGCGGCTGCCTCTGCTTGAAGAGAAACAGTGGAACCAAACAGGAGACTGGCTTTATGTAGGGTTCCTTCCTTCCTTCCTTCCTTCCTTCCTTCCTTCCTTCCTTTTTTTTTCAAGACAGAGTTTCTCTGTATATCTCTGGCTCTCCTAGAACTCATTCTGTAGACCAGGCTGGCCTTGAACTTACAGAGATCAACTTGCCTCTGTCTCCTGAGTAAGGAGACTGAAGGCATGTACCACCAGCTATATAGGGTTTCTTGGGGAAAAGAGTTTTCCAGAGATTTCCAGGGTTGGGATTGGTGGGTCATCAAGCCAAACCCAGGGAACTGGTGTTTGCACTTAAGGATTGGTGGATTTGGAGGCTCAGGGATTGATTGGTTTTTCGAATTCAAGGATTGGTACATTGGTAAGGTTTTCAAACCCAGAAGTACTCGGACCTTTTACCTGACAGAGCATGCCTGTTTTCAGCTCTTCAAGATGCAGATAGCCAAGCTCTGCCCTATGGAGGAAAAGAGAAAAAAACAAAACAAAACAAAGATCAGGCCACAAAATCCCTCCAATCCTACATCACCCCTGAAAGCTCTGCCCCGCCCAAGAAACCCTATATGAAGCCCATCTCCCAGCTAGTTCTCAGCTGCCTGACTCCTCTCTCAAGCAGAAGCCAGCTCCCTCTGTGCCTGTCCCAGGGAATCTTGTGTGAGGTTTGCTGTGCCATGTGACTTTGTGGAATCCCTTGGCTCCCAACTGCGTTATCATAGCAACAGAAAAGTAGCTAATACAGTGCACAAATCCAGAGAGATGGCGCTTTACGAGCACACACTGCCCTTGCAGAGGACCTGGGTTTGGTTCCCAGCAAGCACACCAGATCTCTCATAACCAAATATAACTCCAGCTCCGTGGGTTCAACGCTGTCTTCTGGCTTCTGCAGGTACTCCCACCTGTTGGGAGGTCTTGCTGTCTATCATGGCCTGGCAGCTTTCTCCAAGCTGGACAACATGAGGGATTCCCTCCCCAGTGAGACTTCCTGATCTCTACCTGCCCTTACCTAGACAATAGCTCTAGTTTCAGAAGACTGACTTTATCTGAAAGCTGTCTCAGCCTGGGTGCATGGCTTATTCTAGTGTGACACTTGGCATAGTTCCCTTCTAGAAGCCTCCCCTCCCATTCCCATGCACATATGGTAGCTAAGACTTGTACTAGGAGCTCTGCTGTAAGACTCTACTGCGGCATACAAAGCGTTATGACAGGAGCGCCACTTAATGCAAATTAGATGACTCCCCGGCTACCATCCCCAAACCTATATATTCCATATACTCCGGAATAAGGTTGAGTTGTCAAGTTATCTCCCCGAGGGCTATCTCTGTCATACCCACAGTCATCCAAACCCTGTTCCCTGCTTCTGCTTCCCACCCCTCACAGAGCAGCAGCCCAGGGTCCTGATGAAAAAGGAAAAGCACATGCCCACACACATACACACGTAGAAATATGCATACAGATAAAAAACAAGCTGGACATGGTGGTGCGTTCCTGTAATCCCAGCACTCAGGAGGCAGAGGCAGGCAGACCTCTGAGTTTGAGGCCAGCTTGGTTCACAGAGCTAGTCCCAGGACAGCCAGGGCTACACAAAAAAACCCTGCCTCAATCAATCAATCAATCTTTTTAAATTAGTTTTTTTTTTTAGATAGATCAAAAGACCTTTTCCTCTTCAAATGCACAATGAACACAATGGGTTCCAAAACAGTAACACAGTAAATAGATCAATCCCTGTGCCAAGGCGTGGGTTACTTCAGAGAACTGGAGATATGGTTTGTTAACTCTCCCTTGATGACAGCAGCGCATAGGAATGGTGCTTGTCTCTGAATCTATCCGTGTTCCCAGGAAAACAGAGAGAAGGCTCCCAAGTCTGCTGTCGCCAGTCGTCTTGGCATGAAAGTCTTACCCCCCAGTCCAAATTAGCTGGAACTGCTCGCTGTGGCCGTTTTGGGGCCCACTGTGGTTTAAACAAGCACAGGAAACTGACCCCACAGGTAACGAGCCATAATCTCATCTCTGTAAAGAACATGCAAGGGCTGCTCTAAACCATAAAGCACTGGGCTCACATGGCCCTCGACGACTGAGACTGACCTTGACGGTTTGGTTCAGGAGGGAAGGTGTGCTTGCCCAGCCTCTAAGACTGACCTTGACGGTTTGGTTCAGGAGGGAAGGTGTGCTTGCCCAGCCTCTGAGACTGACCTTGACGGTTTGGTTCAGGAGGGAAGGTGTGCTTGCCCAGCCTCTAAGACTGACCTTGACGGTTTGGTTCAGGAGGGAAGGTGTGCTTGCCCAGCCTCTGAGACTGACCTTGACGGTTTGGTTCAGGAGGGAAGGTGTGCTTGCCCAGCCTCCAGAGGCCCTGGCATGAGCGGAAATGAGCAGTGAATCTCTCAAGTCAGGTCCCCTGCATGTGTGAACATAAAGAGCAAGCAGACTT